ATTTTTTTCCACACTATCTCTTCTATCTGTCTGTGTTTGAAATCTTTTTTCCAATCTATGAAAGTCATTTTAGTTTTTAAGTTATAACCTTTTAAAGTCCAGATACTTCAATTGTCACTTTACTGTGAACACACTCAATTCCGATGTTTTTGTTATTTTATTTTTTTACAGATTTTTACGGGCTTTTTTCTTACATGTATGCAGAAATATATTCATGTTTTCTAATAAGAAACCAGCCCCAAGATAAAATCCACAACCTCTGTTATTGCCTGTTCCAATGTAGGACTTTATTTGTACTACTAAATAGCTTCTAGTTCTTGTAAACATTTGAAACAGTCCAGACTCTGAATAATAAACGGTTTATAAATCAGTAGAAAGGGTGCCAGAAAACACACGGTATATGATTGTCTGGCAGAGAGATAAACTTGAGACTGCAGGTTTAAAATGCCATGAATGCTTTGAGTGTGTGTCACAGATATTCTTACCCCAGCACCACCTCAGCCGCGGTGTCACCTCCAAGGCCCTGGCTGCTGACTCACGGCTCTATGACAGTCCGGCGAGTCCAGGAACCACGCTTCTGCTGTCTACACACACAAACAAACATTTACATAAAAGTACCTTCAATAAAAAAGTTCTTAAGGAAATATCAGGAAACTTTTGTGAGTGAGTTGGATGTATTTAAATCGACAAATAAATGGTAGTGGTGATTTATAAAGGATGTTTCAAAGTCCTTTTTCTTCAAATTTGAAACAAGCCAGAGGCAATTTTTTCTATAACTAAAAATAGCGTACTATTAAACCAGTCAGAAAATCCTCTTTTCAATCGAAAACCAGAAACTGTATATTAATAATGGACTGACGAGCGGTAACATCACCCATAGTGTTAGCCTTAATGTGGAAGAGGCCGATTTGACCATTAGATAGCTGGAGCCAATTTCCCTATATGGGCATTTCTTCCGCTGTGTTTGCTTCGCGCTTATAACAATGAAGATACCGTATGTGATTGGTCAATTCGTATTCCGCTTATATATGGATTTACAAAGACAATATCAAAATAGAAACACCAGGATCATAGAAAGAGCTAAACCACAGATTTTGAATGCCCAAAAAAGTGAGTGTGATACAATCAGTTAGTGAGCTAGAGGAGTTTACGTTTCATGTTAATAGAAGCCAGAGGGAGTTGGAGCAAAACTTGAGTCCTGACTAGAACCAGGAAGTATGACAACATTAGTCCGGTCCTCAGGTCTCTGCACTGGCTTCCTGTGGCTCAGAGAAGCCTGTGGCTCTCCATGGCCTCGCACCAAAATATATTAGTGACATGTTAGTACCATATGAACCAGCCCGGACTCTGAGGAGCACAGGGACTGGACTCCTGTTAGTGTCCAGAGTCAGAACTAAACATGGGGAGGCTGCTTTTCAGATTCATGCTGCTAAAATCTGGAATAATCTCCCTGAAGATGTGAGACAGGCCTCCTCTCTGACAATGTTTAAAACCAGGTTAAAAACGGTTCTGTTTAGCTGTGCATACAACTGAGGGATTTTATATGTTTATCTTTCTTTTTAATGTTCTGTGATTATTTATGATTTTAATGCTTTCTTGTTTTGTTCAGCACTTTGAGTTGCCTTGTGTATGAATTGTGCTATACAAATAAACTTGCCTTGCCTTCATTGAGCTAACATTGTCCATCTATATACAGTCTGTGTCCAAAATCATTTCCAACAAAGTGAAAATTATAGTATTTCTAATGTAGCTATAACCACCACAGTTTGACAACACTGTGAGAACGGACCCATTTCCCTAAAGTAAGTGAGCCTCAGAAGCTCCTAGTGCAGCTATTGACCTTTGCCTGTCTTCATAGTAATATATTTCACTTAAGGGTGGCAGATGCTCTAATGCAATTGCTTCACAAGAGTGACCACATCATTTTTTAAGTTATTCCATAAGTTATAAAATGTCACATATATTGCTACTATTTTTCTACTGTAGTAAGTAACTGTGTAATGTATTGGCATCATAGCAGGCTTCTTTGTCTGTAGCTTTTTATTTAGATTTTGAATAGTTCTTATTGTATTGTCAATTTGTCATGCACTCATGTCTGAATATTTCAATTATTACCTATCTCCGCTCTTTTCTCTGTTCTCGATATTAATCAAAACTAAAGTCTGCATCAAAGAAACAAAGTTGAGAGCTTGTCAGTTGGGCAGTTTTGAACAGGAAGTCATTGAACCCACTTCTAATAAGAAGTTATTTCATTTATTTATATATTTCACACCTGCAAGTGTTAACAATCAGGAAAACAATAATACAAAGTCTGCTTGGTTTGAAAGCGGGATGATGGACCACCGCCCCACACACTCAGACAGATCATTTTCACAAATCATGACAACACAAAACATAGAGGTTTTTTTGGACACTCAAAGACACTTTACAACGGGCTGTTTAAAAAGAACCAAAAAGAAAAAAAAAACTTAACTAAACATCTTGGGGAAAGAGGGCTTTGAACGGTATTTATATGTCGATGCTCTTAAATATATGTATATATGTCTATGTATATGTGTGGCTATATGTATGTATGTATGATACGTATGTGTATATGCATATCCATATGTATATGTGTGTGTATATGTATCTGTTTATATGCATGGATGTATGAATATATACACATATACACTTATTAAATGATAGCTACTGTATTTTACGACAATCTGTCTGTAAAGAGTGGGTAAGAGAATAGTGAGAGCTTGTGTAATGTGTGTGGCATGAGTGGTGTGTGTGAGTATGTGTGTTAAATATTTTTTGTATTATTATTATTATTACTTTAATTTTTGGTATTATTATTATTGCTATCTACTATTATTATTGTTGTTGTTTTATTTTATTTTTGTTTTATTTTATTTGACTGTATCTACCAGAGGTGTGGACTCGAGTCATGTGACTTGGACTCGAGTCAGACTCGAGTCATGATTTTGATGACTTTAGACTCGACTTGACCAAATGTAAAAAGACTTGCAACTCGACTTGGACTTTAACATCAATGACTCTGACTTTCACTTGGACTTGCGCCAATTGACTTGCAAAGACTTGCGTAACCCGGGCCATTTTTACCTTTCTCCGCATCTCTCTTTCTATCTATGCCGTCTCTGAAGAAACAAAGCCTCGCGGTAGTTGTAGCGCTCGCGAGAGAGTTCGAACGTGAGTTCCCCGCAGTTCGCGCAGCAACACTTCCCTAAACAAGCGGACTGCATTCACCGGTGGGTGTGTTGTCTAGGGGAGCTGGAAATGAGCGAGCTGCAGGTATTTATTGCGACCTAACGTCATATTTTGTTCTACAAACCGTAATTGATATGCTTTCACTACAGGCGCCTCATACAATTGAATCGACGCAGTTGTCACACTCTGTGCCGTGTTTTAAAGAGGAACTGGTGAGTCAAACTAGCGCTAGCCTGCGCTGCTCTGTTAGCTATTTCTTATATTTTTCTGTGTGGGCGCCGAGGCCTATTATTATGAGTATGTTTTTGCTGTGCTCCTCCTGCTAAAGTTTGCATACATTAGATAGTTGTTTTGATTATGTGCACTAAGCTAGATTAATATTTGCACTATTGTTTATGGTGCATTGATATGAGAATCAGTGCTTTGACTGATAGAATTAATTTATATGAGACATTTTATTATGTAATGATATATTGGTAATTATGAGATATTACTAATGCTGGTCCAGTTCATACAGGCCAGGGTCCTTCCCCTCCATTGGTCCCTTCAGTCCTTTGGAACAATAACCACTACGGACATTAAACTGATTATATAGATACAGGTCCTAGCCCAATACTCATATTCATATATGCTGCACTGCTGCACTTGCTACTTCCCATTAAAAACCCCAAAGATAAAAAGTATGTTGACACGGACTGCTCTGATTTTATGTGTGGTCTGTGCATGTGTAACTGAGCCTGCATCTGGCACAACATCCAATTAGATCACGTAGATAGTTTTGATTTACCAGCAGCCAACGACATGGAACAAACTGTTAGTCCATGGGTCAGAGACCAACGAGAATGCACCAGCAAAATGATTCCTAACATTATTTTGTTTGCCTACAAAAGTACGTGGAGACCAACAAGAAACAAATCGCGGTCAAAAAGACTCGAGAGGACTCGAAAGTCAAACCGTAGGACTTGGGACTGACTTGAGATTTGTTGGCCTTTGACTTGGACTCGACTCGGGACTTGCCTGTCTTGACTCGTGACTTGACTCGGGACTTGAGGGCAATGAATTGAGACTGACTTGTGACTTGCTAAACAATGACTTTGTCCCACCTCTGGTATCTACTCTGCTGTTCTATGTTCTTTGGATATGATCATGAGGACCCCCCACGAAGACGAGATGATACATCTCATGGGGTTTATCCTCCAATAAAATGTCCATAAATAAATAAATAGGTTCCCAGCTTCAAAGTAAAATTTATAATAACAAATGTGGGTTTTAGCCTAAAACTAAATAACCCATAACATCATAATATGTCTCCTTTAACTTCTTTGAACTTTCATGAATTAGCTACATCGTAATAAGCACGCACGAGGAGGCACACACACAACAATCGGTATGTCCCTGCCCCCTGTATTCCAAATAGGGGCGCCTAAAAATAAGCGTGCCGGGCCCTTTATAAGCCCATCTGTGGACGCACTCAAACATTGAAGACACCACAGTGCGACTGGACTGACCTACACGCACTCCATCTTGTCTTGAAGGCTCTGTTTTGCCAAGGAGGTGCCAATTGAAACGCGGACGAGCAGCGAACCGTTTAATCCATCATTTTTCTGACAGGTGAACATTCTTCGCGACTACACCTGAAAATCCAAAGCAGCTTCCTCAAAAAAAAAAGAAAAGAAAAAAAAGTAGAATAAATAAATAAATAAAGTTTGAGTTGAATTTGGCACGTGGCCGCGAGAAGTTTACGTGCATTTTTAACACGCACGTGCGATAGAAGTATTTAATAAGGCGCCATGATGGCCAACAACTACGGCGACGACCAGCAGTACTACCAGGGCACGGAGTTCGGCGAGGAGGACGACGAGATGCCCGCCACGGAGAAGGACCTGGCCGAGGACGCGCCGTGGAAGAAGATCCAGCAGAATACATTCACTCGCTGGTGCAACGAGCATCTCAAGTGCGTCAACAAGACCGTGACAGACCTCCAGAAGGACTTCGCGGACGGGCTCAAGCTCATCTCGCTGCTGGAGGTGCTGAGCCAGAAGAAGATGTACCGGAAGCACCACAGCAGGCCCAACTTCAGGCAGATGAAGCTGGAGAACGTGTCCGTGGCTCTAGAGTTCTTGGACAGAGAGAGAATTAAGCTGGTGTCTATAGGTGAGTGATTTAAAGCTGGGGGACCTATTCCCCCCCCCTTCATAAATACTGCTTTTCGTTTGTCCCGACATTAAACAAGAGACGCACGTGCTGTCTTTATCTTATAGGACCTTTCCTATTGGCTGACTCAGTGAGGATTGTCCAAAACATATATTATTGTTTAAACTAGTGAGGAAATTGTTAGATCAATGTTATTACAAAGTACAAACATTAGACATCACATTGTAGCCTAATTTGTTCACATATTTGTCCTTGTATAAGACTTTTTTCAGTTGTATTATTGCTACACCAGGTCTATATAACTTTTTTTTGTTAAGCTATATAACAATAATAACATATAAGCAGTTTAAAAAGATATTACTGTCATATCTGGAGAAGAACTCACATCAAAGTATTTTTCCTTTGGCAGTAAAATATACAAGGACATGGACATTGCTTGAAAATATTATTAAAACTTTCTCCATAGAATCATTAAGAAACCAAATTTGCCTTAATACTCCATTTAGAGAATGCTAATTTGGCTCTTTTAGTTCAGCTTTTAATGACACTCTGAATGACTGAACACGCTATTATTATACAAGAATAATAGTCACATGGCAATGCAGTGGTAAAAATAGTGGCATTAAGTATACTAGGCCTGCAACTGGTGCTGCCGTTACTACTAATACTTATATTTTAACTTCTAGACATTTACTACTTTGTCATGTGTGCTTACTGGATGCATATTACTTGCTATAAGATATCTGGGAGAGGCTTGTTGGTGACAGTTCCATGATAAGTGGCTCTAAACGTGGGTCAAAGCGTTCATTGGAAAATGACTGCGGAGGTGCCTCTGAGGTCACCCACTTGTGGCAGAGAGGAGCTGGAGGCATTAGCCTACAGTCTGCTCTGTTTTGTCATCCTGAACTTCAGGTTGAAGACTCAGTGAAGCTGCGATAATGAAAAAAGATGGATTTTGCACCAGCTGACAGTGCTCTCATAAGACTCTATACACAAACACTTAAAGGGGAAGGGTCAAAAGCGACTTAGCAAGGATCTCTGTTGACAGCCCCCAAACATGAGTGAGGAGGGTATTAGCCCTTCTGGGATCCGGTGGAAGAGACAGATAGCTGGAGTTGCATTAAATTCTTGTGGATTTGTGTCAGGGTGAACTGCAGGGGTGAATAGAATACCTCTTCAAAAATTTAACATCTCCAAATAAAATACACAGGGGTGAGAAGAAGACGTATTGCTTAATTATAGAGTTGTGGACAAGCTCACAATTCAAGCAGGACGGAAACTTATTAAACCTGTGACACTTAATTTTTTTCTGTTTTGTGACTAATGACGCTGCCTCACACTTGAGTCAAATTCCCAGCTGTGTTGAGGCTTTTGATCAGTGGACTGTGAGTTAGCTGTGTTAAGAAATTTGATAATGACCAGTAAAAGTTGGGTGTATCATTTATTTTGACTTGAAGTTTATGGAATAGTGTATGAGGACAAACAACCCACAGCAGTGTGAAATCAGCTCAAAATAGAAGTTCTAACCCATTTATCAACGAAAACAAATTAACCGGAAAGTCATCAAGCTCAACTCTATATTTTCTTGTTATTTTCAAACCACAAGAAAATGGAACTGTGTAATACAATCCATCTAACTAACTCCGTGCTCACATAAATAGGTTGGTATATAATATAACTGGTTTTCACATGTATTTTTGCCTTCTGTTAGATTGGCTTTATCAGACAGAACAGTGATCAAGAGAGGTCCACCCTGTCTCAGCCAATCAGCTCTCAACCCATAGTGACAAGGCTCTTTTTGAGTATGCAACACATAACATGTTAACAACACATCACATGGTCTGATTTTACTTTTACCAAACTATTTCTTTCTGTTGGGACAAACAACACATTTTGATGAAGCAACAAGTTACAAGCTTTAAGCAACAGCAAAGACAGCATTGATCCCTGGTCTCGAGAATGAAAGTAGAAGACGAGATCAAACACAAACTGAATAATGGACTAAACACAAATACACTTGTTACATCTAAAATAAACTCTTGACAGATGATCGCACTAAAACAAGACCAAATAAATTCCACACAAGACCTGAAGCAAAGCATTTCAAGTGAACACATGGCATATCCACAGGGTGCACACAGGGGTGAGGGGGGAGGGTAAATGAGTCAATATTTATGCCTGTTGTAAATGTGTTAACCCCGGTGTTGTGCCCAGCTGTAGCAGACAGACACACATTTGTTGGATCAGGATTTGACAGAACAGGGGCATAATAATAGACACCCTGGCATTATACTTCCTGCCCTGATGCCCTGATGCAGCTTTCCTGCACATAGTACTGGGTCAATACTGTTAGAAAGATAATGCTACACTTCCATTACACTGACCCAGAGATGCTAAAAAAAACTCCAGTGGGCTTAGTGGCACATGTGTCACAAGTTGTAACTGAGATCATTTGATAGACGCAGCTTTGCCCAAACAGTTGGCCTTAAATCTGGACACATAAAGGGTGGCCCCCGCCGTGCTGTGGCCCTGACCCCACCTGCCTGCACACATCAAATAATGACACATCAGATCTGGCAGGAGACATTTACTGGGAATTACTGAAATCATTTTATCAACACTATTTGGTACATTTTGGGATTATATGGATTATATGAACTGATTTTGATGCAACTATAGAGCTCAACTATGATCCACTATCCCCCCCAAAGACTTATGATATATTATTATATCATTAAACTTACTATTTTGTATATTAAAATAGTAATAGTAATAAAACATATATATATATATATATATTTAAAAACAATGTCCTTCCTAAGGTGGAATTTATCAAAGACAATTAGTAGAGGAGGATTAAAAAGAAATTATTATGCTATTTTATTCCACTGAGTATTTTGCAATAGGAAGTAGGCATTATAGGAAATTATCAGTGCGTGTGTTGTCAATGGAGCTAATCTCTCCTTTTTGATTTATCATGCTACTGGTGGCGGCTACTACTTTTGGATGTAATTGAAATCAGTGTGGTATTTATGCAGAAAGAGAGATCCACCGTTTGCACATATCCTCAGCTGTCAGTGCCTTGGGAGCAGCATTGTGACTGGATGACAGATTGTCAGGGGTCCGGGCCGGGACAGCTGTCTGAGAGAAAGGGGCTCAGGGGGAGCAGTGAGCAGCGTTAGAATCTTGTCTCCTCAGCAGTCACTCATCATTGTTTATATTTCCACACAGAAAGCCTGGTCAGCTCCTTGACGCATCCAGACTGTTGATATTACAGGCGGCTTTTCTTATAGAAACATTTTTTTGAATATGCCGCAAATGTACTTTAGAATTCAAGAGGAGTCTTGATCAGATGTTTCCCCACTGCAGTGCCACTTGACTGCTACCAGTTACTGTTTTACTTCATTAACTACAAATTGACTTTTTCTATATTCCAGTAACATTTCTAAAGCTACTACTGTTCTTACACGAACAGCTGCTGTCTCTGAAAACACAATACAAAATACAAGAATGTATTTGCCATTTGCAGTAAAACCACATTGGAAAGACTACTCCAGTGTGCACCAGATAGTACACACCAGAGCTCCACGGTGCCATGGCCAGGCCTAAGTATAAAATAACTTCATACTTAGGCCTGGGAAATAAATATCAATTGGCTTTTAGTATTTTTCTCTTTGGTGTCTTAAATTAAAATCATTCCAAATCGTCCAGTCCTTATCATCCTCATACTGTTCTCAGGATCATTACTTTGTACCTTATTCCTCTACAAATTACATACAGCACATCAAAGCACAACTCAAGTCTAAGTAACATCGACAGCATTTCAAATTCCTACTAAAGGCACACATTTTCTCATTAATCTCTGGCACCCGAGTGGGAGAGGCAACTTGGCTGTATAAAATGAAATAATGATAAATTCCTCTTCACAATATACTGTACATCTTTATTGTGAAGAGGTGTGATCTCCACAACCCTGTCATGCATTTGTCCTGACATTCTTATGTAAAGTGTTCTGGTGTAAAGTTGAATTTTGATCCCTATAGAATCTGGAAAAAATTTACATTTTCATGCGATTAGAATCAATCCTCATAAATTCGTATGTTGTCTGTTTTCTGCAGATAGCAAAGCCATTGTGGATGGAAATCTGAAGCTGATCCTGGGTCTTATCTGGACTCTAATTCTGCACTACTCCATCTCTATGCCCATGTGGGACGATGACGATGATGAAGAGACAAAGAAACTCACCCCCAAACAGCGACTGCTGGGCTGGATCCAAAACAAGGTGCCCCAGCTGCCCATCAACAACTTCAACCGCGACTGGAGAGATGGAAAAGCCCTGGGAGCTCTGGTGGACAACTGCGCGCCAGGTGAGAAGACAAAACGCAACTGTGTGACAAATAAAACACTTTGTTGCCACTATTACTATTGTTCGGAAACCCACAAACTACTGTATTCTCTGTGCTTTTTACTTTTAAAGGATGGATTGTAGTATGCTATTAAGATCAAGTAGGGTTGTCAAAAGTATCAAAAATCCAATAAAATACTAAACTACTAAAAAGGAAGTTACTAGATACTGATTTGAGCAAATACATAATAAACATCTGAATGAATACAATTACATAAACAGGACATTTTACACATTTTGGATACATTTTAAACTATTTCAAACAAACTTTGGATTTAATTAAAACACTGAGATCGAGATTATACCGGTCACCTAAAAATCAATGATCAACTAAGACTATAAACGAGAAGTCTTCGTTTTCAGCTGTTTGTAAAAGAATTTTGAGCAGATTTAAAAAAATAGATTACTCTTTTGAAAACATGAAAAATCTTGTTTGCGTGCAAGGCGTTTGTGTTCATAAGATTAATAATGATTTCTTGTGTGTGTTACATGCAGTAGAACACTCACAATTACTTTTAGCAATTGGACCATAACTGTATTCATAATAACACACTAAGTATATCACCCATCCTCCAATGCTGAGTAAGAATAACTAGATTACACCGCGTGTGTACTTAAGTTTTCCTCGGTCACCATGGAGCCAGGTTCAGGGGACTAAGTGTGAAAATGTATCATCTTCCACGGAGACAAGCCAACCCTGCTCCTCATCTTTAAAAGACTGCCCAGTGAGATGCCTACTCTAGACACACACATCTACATTGAAAGTGAGATTCAAATATCTTTTAATGTGTCCCGAGAGAGAGCAGGTAAGTGGAGGCCATCCCTGCCAGCTGTCCCACAATGACTGAAGCGTTCACCCCCCCAGGCCAGCACCCCGAGGCCCAAATATATATAACGTTTATAGACTGCCCACTACAGCAACCCCAAATTTGGACTCCATTCTCTCTCATTTATAAAGGGGAGGCTTGGCTTGACTTCAAAATGCTCTGTGATCTAAGAGATGTAAAGAGCTCCAAAAATCCTAGAAATCACAAGGCCATGTGTTGGGTCTGTTCCAGTATAGATAGTGCTCTTTTAACGGCGTGTTACTGTGAGAATAGTGGAGGAGTAGAGGCACAGACCTGTTTACAAGGACCATTGATCTGAACAGGCTCATCCCTCAAACAGCAGGCTGACCATACAAGGTGCTGTTGTTGGAGCCACTCAAACCAAACAGCTTGGTAATGGCATTTGTTGTACTACTGACTCATTTCAATTCATACCGTTATGTTGCCTTACATAAGATGCGACAAATACGACAGAAGCTGTACTTGAGTAGGAGAATTAACAGCATTACTGTAGTTGAATCTTTTACTTTCTGCAATGCTGCTTCCAACTGCGGCTAATATCATTAACTATACAGCTAGTTGTGCCTTTTTTTTTATTTCTAAAGATTATCTAAAAAATTTACTTCCAGTGGGCCTTCATCCACTATTGATGTATCTACACTGCTGCTGCTGCTGCTGCTGCTGCTGCTCCTTACCTAATTTTAATTCATATTTTGTGTTACCCTTTTGTTTTTAAAGCTATAGATTAAAGAGGCGGCTATGCTCCAGATTTTGGATGCCAGAATGAGCCCACATGTAATTCTGAATGAAGCAAATGCAATGCATTTAAAATCACATTGAATTTGGAAATCAATATAAGTTTTAAAGTTGGCATTTCAGACCACAGTAATGGACTAGTATACGGTGCTATCCTACAAAGCATCAGACATGTTGTGGTCTGATTTATTTACAACAATTTACTTTTAAGAGTAACAACATGCAATAGTATGAAATGAAAAAAGTTAGGCAACTCAGTTTAAATAGTTTTTTATTCTCTGTATGTTCTTTTATTCACCATTGCAATTCTATTAAACACATACCGCCCACATTGTACAGTAATACACCCATCAGCATGGCGGCATCCTCTTATAATGATTGACACCCTCTCTCCACTGTGTCTACACTTATAATTGTTAATATTGCTTCTGTGTCAATCATAATAGGATAAGGCTTCTCTGTAGTGCGCCTGCATGGGCCTTTTGAGTGGACGTCCCTTTCGCAATAGCCAGCACTAATCCAATTTAGGCATTAGCGGTACAGGGGAAGAGCTAGCTGTTGCTTTAGTGAAAGTGCCAGCGTGTGTGTGCCGCAGAGATTGTTTCCTGTTTCCTTTTTCCCAATGATTGTCTGAGTGTGTTCACAAGTGTGCGGGTAAGGTCATGTGATGGGGAGGAAGGGGGCTGCAGAGATAACCGTGGAGCTTATTATAGCGCCGCAGAAGAAAATCACCTAACCTTGTTTCCCTCACCCCTGTGTTGTGTCAGGCCTGTGTCCAGATTGGGCTGAGTGGGACCCTAACCAGCCTGTGGAGAATGCCAGAGAAGCCATGCAACAAGCGGACGACTGGCTGGGCGTTCCTCAGGTAAAGAATAAACGCCACACGGCATAATGACACATTCGCCATCACACAGGAATGTGAACCTGTACTTTTAAAACTTCAGCAAAGTGTGAGTAGAAGTGGGCAATATATTGACCAATGAATACTACAACATTTGTTTTAAAGTTATGCTACATTTTTGCATTTGACCAAAATAACTATTCAATATAAAACCTGCATATATTGTTGATAGACCTACATTTTTGGTGGTTAATTTTTAGGTTTGGGTAAAATCAGCCTCAAACGTCATATTCAGAGACATTTTTGTATACAATTTGATGAAGTTCCACATTATCATTTGAATAGTGTTATCTAAACATATTTTTGCATATACATACACATATACATATATTTGAGTTTCATACAACCACACACAGAGTGAGATTGCCACTTTCTTCCACCTCACCAAATAATTCCCTATCATCATGGCACAGTATATACTTTTAGGCACCCACAAAAACCAATTTCCCACCCTGCTTTACACACACTAAGCATATTGTATGGAATCTATGATTTAGACGAGCTTTGCCTTTGGGAACTTAGGCTGTAGCAGGTCATGAAATATGTATTGTTCTCGTTACCTTATCATTTCCATTTGCTTTAGTGTAGTTTCCGACAGTGACAGTGTTGGAGTTTTTTTGTGAATTTATGAAATAGGTGGAGGTGCGAGATTCTTCCACGCTGTCAGGTACCAGCTGAAAAACAGAGGTGTAAATATGCCCGCTCTCATTAGAATAGCAATGCGGATCTAGTGGGAGCTGTGCATTTCCAGATCCTGTCTCTGCAATACTGTACTGAAATGCCTTTCATGCAAGTTTAGTTGTTTACTTGAGCCACAGCGCACTCGGCTCTGCAAAAGGCTTATAGGTGGAGCAATAGCCGAGGGGTGTATGTCATGGTTTGTGCTCCTGGGGGCCAGATTCCAGTATGCTAGCATTCTGGAGATGTGGGAGAGGTCTGGCTCAGGATTATTCCCTCCAGTTGGCTTATTGCTGGCAACAATCCTTAACCCTCCTGTCCTGGGGTTAAATATAACCAGCACAAAGCATGGCTTTGTGGGACTGTGTGATAGACAGACAAACAAGTGCTGCGAGGCAAAAGAGCAGTCAGAGGTGGAGAGAACAGAGAAGTTTAATCCAAGTTAAGCTCCTCTGTGCTGTGAGGGGGCTCAATAAAAAGTCAAAATTTAGTGAATACAGATCACCCATATACAGAAACTCTGTATTATAATGCCAAGCTCTGTCTTTGTGCTATTGCATTATTGCCCATGTCGAATTCAATTACGCATCAAACAAGATACATTTCCCTAAAGAAAATATTTGCTTCCTTGAAAATGAAAATGATTGACTAGCTTTTGAAAATCCATAATTCATAACACGATTATGGAAATTATTTTGTGTCAATCAATTGGCTAGTGCAGGGCTGCCAAAATTCATTTTCCAGGCGCTGGATTCATCGGAGGGTCTCACAACTCCACTTAATGATTTGTTGACAGCATCTTATATATTATTGCTTAACATATTTTAAGTCTTCATTAACCAAATCTAACCTATGATAAAACCAGTTAACAGGTTGAATAAGACTAGGCTATTGGCTTTGTTTCTACACAGGCCTTTTTTACACTTTCTTATATTTATTAACCATCTACTCAATAGAAACCATTTACATGATTGTCTGTGCTGCAGGTGATTGCCCCAGAGGAGATTGTGGACCCAGATGTAGATGAGCACTCCGTCATGACCTACCTGTCCCAATTCCCCAAGTCCAAACTCAAGCCTGGTGCTCCTCTACGATCCAAGCAACTGTTCCCCAACAAGGTCAAAGCCTATGGGCCTGGTATGTATCTTAAGTCCTGTTTTAGTCCAATTTTAGACCTGCTATACACCATGGTTTGCCCTGATTAAAGTAATGGCCTTGTTCTGCTTCCATCTTTTGTTGCCTTTTTTTCACAATACTGTGATATACAATATTGTGAAAAAAAGGCTACAAAAGATGGATATACATATGACAATGCAGGCAGTAGTATTGTGTCTTATAAATGTATTATTATTGTTTTGGACAATAGGTATTGAGCCCCATGGTAACAAAGTGTTGCAGCCTGCGGTCTTCACTGTGGAGACCCTGGAGGCCGGCAGCGGTGAGGTCCTGGTCTATGTAGAGGATCCTGAAGGACACAAAGAGGAGGCAAGTTAAACCTGATACATTCAGAGTTAAAAAATATTTTTCCCAATGGACAGAGCTAATCCACGTGCTAAATATCAAAGTGGTAAGATCAATGTAATCTCACAGTTGTTTATTTTTATGCTGCAGGCAAAGGTTAAACCAAACAAAGACAAGATTCAAACATATACAGTCACCTATCTGCCTAAAGTCGAGGGTCTCCACAAGGTAATATGGAAGACTTTATGGATCTTTTTTAAACGACAATAAAACAAGCAACAAACATCAATTGATTTGTTGTCCCGTTTTCCAATAGGTGAAAGTGTTGTTTGCAGGTCAGGACATCGATAAAAGCCCCTACTCTGTTAATGTGGCTAAAGACATGGGTGACCCCAGTAAGGTCCATGCAAGAGGACCAGGCTTGGAGCCCACAGGGAATGTAGCCAACAAACCCACCTATTTTGACATCTACACAGCGGGTAAGAACAGAGTATTTAGAATGTGTCATTGTACATAAGACCAACGTGATAATGTGTGAAATGACCCCTACTCTGTCTACTCACCTCCAGGCGCTGGGAATGGAGACGTGAGTGTGGTCATAGTCGATCCCCAGGGCAAACAAGACACAGTGGAGCTAATTTTAGAAAACAAGGGTGACAGCGTGTTCCGCTGCACCTACAGGCCCTTGCTGGAGGGTCCTCACATCATCCACGTCCTGTTTGCGGGACAAGGAATCACCAGGAGCCCATTCACTGTCAACATTGCAGAGGGTGAGCCATCTGTCTGTGTCGTAAATTACTGTCAGATAAATCTGATTTCTTAGTGATGTGTTAGTGTCAGGGCGGTCTATCAATCACAGGCCGCGGGAGAGACTGTCCACGCTAAAGCGTAACCTCCCTATTTGTCATTTCTAGCTCCACAGGGTGCTCCTCCCTTAGGGGCTCCACAGCAGATAGCACCACAGTCAATGCGTGCCCCTCCTGGAGGTGGGAAGGGGGCTGTCCCCTCAAAACCAGGACGCCCAAGTTAGTATGGTTTGCTGGGCAGGACTCTGCGCTATCCTCTGTCGTTTTTCTGTCCAAATGCTGCAGATGCCTGAAGTATCTTGCGTGCAGCCCCATGCTGCGCTTGGTTGGCTGCCTCATGTTGTTGCATCATGAAGCTTGATGGTTTTTAGACTTGTGTAAATGAAAAAACACACCCAAGAGACAGGCTTGTGCAAACAGCTTGCAGATCTGAGTGCTTTTTATTGTGGTAAATGTTGTTGCTTGAGCTTTGACATTTCTGTTGATTGTTGCATTATCTTGTCATCATTCAGATTAAGCCTGCAGTCAAAATTTTTGACAGAAATGTTGTCAGACGCCTCTACACATGCTCTCAAATGCGTCAAAATACATTTTTTTCAAATATGTGACATATATGTTTTATACGCATCAATGTTGTTTACAGGTCCTGTCAATCACTGTTTAAAGATTCCTGTCTGAAAAGGATATTGTTCCGTGACTGCCTTAGCTACTAACACTGCCAATTTCTGCGGTTTTATTTTATGTTTTCCTCTAATATTCTTTTCCTCTTTAAAAACCTTGTTATTGTTGTTATTCTTTTCAGCCATCAACCCGAACGCCTGCCGAGCTACAGGCAGAGGTCTTCAGCCTAAAGGGGTGAGAGTAAAGGAGGTTGCAGACTTCAAAGTCTTCACCAAGGGAGCTGGCAGCGGAGCACTGAGCGTCTCTGTCAGAGGACCTAGTGAGTCAGACAGCACCTCTGCTTCACTCTTCACTCATATGTCTCGCTATTTCTGTTTTTAGCCTTGTGTGGTTTTTGTCAGAAATCTAGATTCTGCATCACAGTACAAAAACGAAAAAGTGCTCAGAGCGCTACTAAACCATTACAATGTATTTTCTGTAGATGGAGCAGAGGAGCAAGTCAAAGTCCGTGATGCGGGAGATGGAGTTTATGAGTGTGAATATTATCCACAGAAGACTGGGAAATACACAGTCACCATTACATGGGCAGGCCAGCCGGTCCCACGCAGGTAAACCACAGCTTCTTAGTTGTCCCATCATTGACCATTATGTGCTTTAAAGCATTTCATGATGGTCTCTGTTCATTTCAGCCCCTTCGAAGTTGAGGTGGGCGCAGAGGCAGGCTTCCAGAAAGTGAGAGCCTGGGGCCCCGGTCTGAAGACGGGCATGGTTGGGAAATCTGCTGACTTCGTTGTGGAGGCTATTGGCACTGAAGTTGGAACTTTGGGTACAACTTTAGAGACGATTCAAACAGAGATGTTTAAGAAATGTATATTCTTTCATATTTAAATGTTTTCAGGCTTCTCCATCGAGGGCCCCTCTCAGGCTAAAATTGAGTGTGATGACAACGGTGATGGCTCATGTGATGTACGATATTGGCCCACTGAAGCCGGTGACTATGCAGTCCATGTCGTTTGTGATGATGAGGATATTAAGGACAGTCCCTTCATTGCGCACATCCTCCCTGCTGTAAATGATGTCTTCCCTGAGAAAGTAAATCCTATGTTTTTTTCTTTAAAACCTTTTACATATGATTGCATTGTAAAATATTGGGACCAGTATAATCTTTCTTATACAACTGAAAGCTACTGAATTATCTAGCCATGTATTGTACATGTTTTGAACTAGAAAGTGTGTGTTACAGGTGAAAGCGTTTGGGCCTGGGCTGCAGCCAGCGGGTGTGATTGTCAACAAACAAACCGAATTCACCATTGATGCTCGCATGGCCGGAAAAGGTCAACTGAAGATCTACGCTCAGGTATGTTGTCTAACTTGTTTTCTTACACCATTTTTTTACCTGAGGGGGAGAAAGCTGATATGACATTTTTCCTGCTTAGGATGCAGAGGGATGCTCCATCAACATCAAGATTGCTGACAAGGGAGACGGCACGTTCCACTGTGTGTACACTCCACTCAAGCCCATTAAGCACACCATCATCATCACCTGGGGTGAAGTCAACGTACCCAAAAGCCCCTTCAGGGTAAGACAGCATCAAAGCATTTACACAAATACCATTCTTTGGAAACATATTGATAAAAATAATAATAATAATAATGTGAGCATTGGTCTCATAACCCTTTTTTGGACTCACAAGTCATCAATCATTGTTAGAAACAAGGAAACCACTATGTGCCATCGGCCCCTCCGATCACCATAACAGGCCCAGCCCTGCTTAACTTCAGGGGTCAGACAGGATCTGGCTGTTAGTTTGGTGCCATTGTTGTATGTTTCTTTACTAAATATCAATGGCATATGTTGCTATCGCTTCTTCTTCTGTCTTCTGTTAAAATGGCTTTCTAAGAAAAAAAGAGAATTTAATCAAATGACATTTGGCCAAATAAAGACAAAGTGAGAGGGCTGCACTGCTTCTGTCTCAAGTGCTGTGTGATTTCATTAGGTTCTGGTTGGAGAGGGATGTCATCCTGACAGAGTCAAGGTCTATGGGCCTGGAGTGGAGAAGACAGGGCTCAAGGCTAACGAGCCAACATACTTCACTGTGGACTGCAGTGAGGCCGGCCAAGGTGAGCCCACTGAAATGCACAGCTGCTCAGATGTAGAAATGATTCAACAATAACTTTTGAATTAGCTGAATATGGGTGAGCTGCACAATGGCCTTTTTCTAGTCATCATTTGAAGAGATTTAGTGGAGTAGTCTTTGATTGTGTAATTTACTCCTTATTTAGTTCTACTTTATTTGCTGCTGTTAATTTGAAGTCGGGACCTAGCTTCGGCTAATCAATACTTGCCTTGAGGGCTTTAACGTGCCTGCACTACTATGTACTTTAATTGCGAGCCTCCACTACCTTGTTCATTCCTTTCGAATAGAAATCATTGTTTCATGTTGCATCTGTAGAAATGGAATGTGAAGGGTAGTACGGTCTGTTCCTATTCAAATGTCAGGACCTCTTTGCACTAATCTTATTACTATGTGCCTTAGGGGACATCAGCATCGGTATTAAGTGTGCTCCGGGCGTGGCAGGGCCAGCAGAGGCAGACATCGACTTTGACATCATCAAAAATGACAATGACACCTTCACCGTCAAGTACACACCGCCCGCACCCGGACGTTATACGATCATGGTTCTGTTTGCTGACCAGGTTGGCACATAAACATTTTAATAGAGCTTTTAATAATACATTAGCTTTTGAGCTTATGAGCTTTTCATAATAAACATTTTTTAATGATCTATTCAGGAAATTCCTGTGAGCCCATTCAAAATCAAAGTGGATCCTTCCCATGAGGCCGGCAAAGTGAGAGCTGAGGGCCCTGGACTGAATAAGACAGGTCAGAATGCACTGGTTGAAAAAATTGATTAGCTCTTCTCATCTTCTATCAGTAATGCTTCTTTGGGCTTTTCAGGAGTAGAAGTAGGCACGCCTACTCACTTCACCATCTACACAAAGGGAGCTGGCAAAGCTAAGCCTGAGGTGCACTTTGCAGCATCAGCCCCGGGAGAGGCTGTTCGTGACTTCGAAATCATTGATAATCATGACTACTCCTACACTGTCAAGTACACCGCTCTTCAACAGGTAATCCTCTGCTTTAGTCCATTAACAATAGGACAGCTGCAATGGAGTTTTTTTATTTGGTTTGTTTATTGTATGCACTCTTTATAGGGGAACATGGCTGTTACAGTTGTGTATGGAGGCGATCCTATTCCCAAGAGCCCATTCCACATCACCGTGTCACCCCAGCTGGATTTGACAAAGGTTAAAGTAGAGGGATTAGACACCAGTAAGTACACATCGGCAGAATGAATTTTTTTGTTGTTGTTGAATGAAGCACACACATTTAAAGATAACATGACATTTTGTGTTGCAGAAGTGGAGGTGGGAAAAGACCAGGAGTTCACTGTAAACACAAAAGGTGCTGGTGGGCTGGGCAATGTCGGCGTCAAGATGACATCACCTACTGGCCGACCAATCCCGTGCAAGATGGAGTCTGACCAAGCCAAAGGCATCCATGGTGTGAAGTATATACCCCCAGAGGAGGGGCAGTACAAGGTTGATGTCAGCTATGATGGCAACCCGGTGATGGGCAGCCCCTTTGGAGTTGAAGCTGTGATGCCTGCTGATCCTTCAAAGGTTAAAGCTCATTCATGTTGTCACCTTATCCATTATAAAGTCCACATGAGGCCTCATACATAAACATTCTGCTTTTTATATGAAATATGTATGCTTTTCTGACTGGGCTGTTTCAATGTAGGTCCGAGCTTATGGTCCCGGCCTTAAGGGAGGTGTCGTTGGAAAACCTGCTCTGTTTACAATCGATACAAAAGGTGCTGGAGCTGGGGGTCTGGGTTTGACAGTGGAGGGTCCCTGCGAGGCAAAGATGGAATGCCAGGACAATGGAGACGGCACCTGCTCCGTAGCCTACCTGCCCACTGAGGCCGGAGAATATGCTATTAACATCCTATTCGCTGAGCAGCACATCCCAGGCTCCCCTTTCAAAGCTGCCATCCGCCCTGCGTTTGATCCCAGCAAAGTGACGGCCAGCGGGCCCGGTCTGGACAGGGCCAAAGCTGGTGAACCTGCCACTTTCACTGTGGACTGTAGCAGAGCTGGAGATGGCGAGCTCACCATTGAGATTGTGTCTGACGCTGGAGTCAAAGCTGAGGTGCACATTCAGAAAACAGCAGATGGCACTTTCTCAGTCACATACATCCCGTCTTTCCATGGCACACACACCATCACCATCAAGTATGGCGGTCATGTGATTCCACAGTGTCCCAAAGTCCTGCAAGTGGAGCCCTCTGTGGACACAGCCGGGGTCCATGTCTACGGCCCTGGAGTGGAGCCGAGAGGTAAACATTAATTAAATTATAGTTGGACTCAAATAGTTTCTTAGTCTAAGTTTTTTCAATATGTTACACTGAAAGTATGTTATATGCTCAAATATAAGGTAGTATATAAATTGACTTGAGAACTACTTAAAACAAGCTTTGCCAATGGGACCGACAGTTTAGTCTCTTTTGTTCTGTGTCTAGTTAAAACAAACCAAAAATTGCATTGGTAAATCTTGTTTCATGGCAGTCAAACTAAGATAGAGCTGTGCCTAATGCAAGCCATTTTTACTTATTGTCATTTTCAGTGTATGTGTTGATGTATAATTATAGTTTGGATTTCATATGAGTACATGAGCCAGTAATAATATGTTTAATGGATTTTATCTAATTGACCTTTCCAAACACCTACTCTACATTTCCACTGGCCAAATGAGGCCTTCAGCAAATAGTTTATAACATTGAGAAAAAATAAAAAGCTTCTTTCTTTCAGTGAAGTCTAACAGCAGCAACAGTCTAATATCAAGAGTCATTATATCGGAAGTGCACTTTGTAAATCCTTCCCACCTAATGTGAAGGGTCTGTTCTCTTTAAGGGGTCCTTAGGGAAGTCACAACCCACTTCATCGTTGATGCTCGGGCTCTGAACAAGACTGGAGGAAACCATGTTAAAGTCCATATTATGAATCCATCTGGGGCCAACACTGAGGGCTTCATCACTGACAAAGGAGACGGCACATATCGGGTGGAATACACAGCATATGAGGATGGTAAGATTATGCAACACACAATTCTGAAAGGAAGAAAATAATACATTTTAATTGATCCATATTTAACCATATAGCTGTATACTAAGAGTGGACTCACCAAGTGCTGACATCACCATAATGTTTGCCTTAATGCGGAAGATGCCAATTTAAACATTTGCTTATATGGCAATTTCTTCCCTGTCATTAGCTTTGTGCTGTAATAAGGGCAGACGTATTGCCAAGACGGTTGCTAAGCTGGACTTTACTCACGAATGAAGGCATCTGACTGGTCAATCTTTATATGGTGCAGTCAATATGGGTGGAGTTGGAGCAAAACTTTGTCCATGAGCACTTCCCTATTAGGCTAGGGGGTTAGCATTTTCCATCTATATACTGTCCATGCATAGAGCCAAGCCACAATTTCAGTAGTTCAGCAGTTGTTTATTCAAGCAGTGTTCAGTGAAACTAGAAAGTCAAAGATCTCCATGTGCGGCTTATTGTGAAAAGTTTCTAAAATTAATATTTTTGACAAAGTTAGTTCACAATTTACTTTGACTTAAGGCATAACGAGTGCAACGTTGCAGCCACACTGATTTGTCATCTGAATCAGAGCATATATAGCGAGTGGTACTAACAGGTGTTTGAGTTGTGCACCATCTGGGACTAAAACAGGCGAGTGGGAAAAGAAAGAGTGAGAGAGAGGGGTATAAATACAGCATGATGCAGTGGAGCAATGATATGAGGGCGAGAGAGCAGGGATAGTGGCATACAGGCAGACTTGGTTTTATAAATAGTAGAAGCTGGAACATGGCTCTTAACCAGGTATGTGTACAAAAGGCTGCCTGCTCACGGCAATATAGCAGCACAATGGCACAAGCTATCACCAATCTAATAGAAAACTATCGCACAAAGAAGAGATCACAGAGCACTTTTGGACAAGCTTTATTATCACACTAGCAAGGTTGTGGATCTGTTATATAGGCTGGTAGAGAAATGTCCTCACAAAATAATAAAAAAAGATAAGATTTAACGCCTTGTAGCTTCAGAAATTACACCTGTTTCCATCTATCCCTCAACAGAGGCTTATATCTCCCCAAAAAATTGTCCGGTCTCTGCAATTACAAGCAAATGCCAACATGCCGCTATGTAAAGATAAAGGCTGTAATACTACGTCCGTCCGCAGGGATGCATCTCATCGAGGTGCTGTACGATGACGCGGCCGTTCCCAAGAGTCCATTCAGAGTGGGGGTGGTGGAGGGCTGTGATCCGACACGGGTGCGCGCTTTTGGACCGGGTCTGGAAGGAGGCATCACTAACAAGCCCAACTGCTTCACTGTGGAGACAAGGTATAAACGGTTTAACAAGAGTACCTTAATTACAATTGATCAAAATATGTTTGAGAGATTACATTTTATTACAGAAGAAGTTCATATTGTTTGAGTTTTTACGGCTTAGGTTCTTATTGAAAGACTAGTTAAGATTCCTTGGCTGCTAACTGCGAGTCATCTTCAGAACTCTAGGTTACATCTCACTGTAGTCAATTCCACAGTGGAATTTGACAATTAACACACGAGAAAAACAATTGGTTGACAGTTCAATCCAAGAGTGTTAAAATAGTTTTGGTGTGAGATTTTGTGTGATATTTAAAAAATGAAAGCTGGTTAAGTAAATACTAAAACCTTTAGCAAAGTAGAAGAATTGCTCCGTGTGCTCCCATTAGCTTCCTACAAATGTTTCCATACATCTTTCTTACATCTTTGCTTAAGATTAACTTATTTTCTGTTATTGATTTCAGTGGTTCTCTAGCTCTAGCTAAAGGGTTAACTATGTAGTGAATGTGTTGTCTAACCTGTCATATGGGCTTTAAGGCATCTTATGTAAATACATGCAGCTTGAGCTTGATTGAACACTGCATGTATGTAACTACAGAGGGGCTGGTACTGGTGGTCTGGGTCTGACTATTGAAGGAGCATCAGAAGCCAAAATATCCTGCAAAGACAACAAAGACGGCAGCTGCAGTGTGGAGTACGTCCCTTTCACTCCCGGAGGCTACGACGTTAACATTAACTATGGAGGGCTCCCCATTCCCGGCAGCCCGTTCCGCGTCCCAGTCAGAGACCCAGTGGACCCTACCAAAGTGAAATGCTCTGGTCCAGGATTGGGGTCTGGAGTCAGGGCCCATGTGCCTCAGACGTTTACCGTGGACTGTACTCAAGCGGGACAGGCACAGCTGGATGTCAAACTATATGGACCCACAGGTAAATAGATTTCACTAGGTTTCACGTGCACACATTGTTTGGCCTTTGTCTTTAGATCAGGGTTTTCTGACAGAAAAGGGAAAAGGAGAGGACCACCCGAACTCAGCCAATCAGATCTCCGAAGAGTTAAATAGTGACTCAAAAGGATCTTTTTTACGTATTTAAGTATGCAAAAGAGAACATATTTTCTAATAAGATGAAGACAACATGTTCTGATCCCATTTGTTCTCAATATTTTACTCTTTCTGTTGTGTTATTCCTGAAACAAAAAACTCAAAAAATCCCCAGGTTTAAGGTCCTGAAATGTTGTTATCAACAGGCTTCTCAAATATTTTTGTTTGTTTGTTTTTAGGCACTTTGGAGCCTGTTGGTGTGAAGAATAATGGTGATGGGACACACACTGTCCATTACACCCCAGCCCAGGACGGCCCTTACACTGTCTCAGTGAAATATGCAGAGAAGGAAGTCCCACACAGGTACAACCATCCTCCAAACTAACTTGTTTCAAAGTTTTGCTCTGTTTGTAAGGAAACAGTAGCTCAGCACTATTTCAGTCGGCTTTCTTTTGAAGGCTTTCTAACTGCATTTTTACCCTTCAATTTTACCTTCTTCAGTCCATTCAAGGTGATGTCTCAGCCTGGGCATGACGCCAGTAAGGTTTGCGCCAGTGGTCCTGGTCTAGACACGAAAGGTGTGCCGGCCAGCCTGCCTGTTGAGTTCACTATTGATGCGCGGGATGCTGGAGAGGGATTGCTTACAGTGCAGATTTTGGTAAGAGCTGCACTTTGCACCTCCTCTGTGCTTCTGAGCCTTTGAGTTAAACTTTAAGTCAGCAGCTTTTAAAGCATATCATTCTTCTTTGACAGGATCCAGAAGGAAAGCCCAAAAATGCAACTATCCAAGACAACAGAGACGGCACCTACACAGTGTCATATGTACCTGACTCCACAGGCCCTTACACAATCACTATAAAATATGGAGGAGATGAGATCCCCTACTCTCCATATCGCATCCAGTCTCTTCCCACTGGGGATGCGAGCAAGTGCCAGCTCACTGGTGAGAAAGCATGAGGATGCATAATAATTAGCATCAATGAAAACAATGTATTCTTCTCTATGTTAATATTTAAACACTCTCTTACTTTTGCTCTAGTGTCTATTGGAGGCCACGGCATGAGTAAGTTTCTTTAAATTCAAATATACACATCTATATTTATGGGGCAGATTTTTCATCACATTTTCCTTTTCTTAAAAGCGAGTCTTCAGAAGCTGCAGACTTCTGAGGACACAGTCATCACTGTTGATGCAAAGGCTGCTGGGAAGGGCAAGGTGACCTGTAAGGTTCAGACTCCACAGGGAATGGAGCTGGACATGGATGTGGTGGAGAATCACGATGGTACCTTTGACATTTACTACACCGCCCCAGAACCTGGGAAATATGTTATTACCATCCGCTTCGGGGGGCAGAACATCCCCAAGAGCCCCTTCCATGTGCTTGTGAGTAAACTACAAACCACAGCCCTTCCTTCAGCAGGTGCATAACTCTATGACATTCAGGGAAACTCAAACTGAATTCCTGGTTTTCAGGCCACAAATGAGCCAGTCGCACCCCGTGATCCTGTGGACCCTCTTTTCCGCCCTGTAAATTTCCTCGTCCCCTTCACACCACAGCAAGGAGAAATCACAGGTTTGTTTGCTCACTTGAGGACACCAGACAGCCACTGTACATTTCTATTTAGGTCACTGACTGAGGCTTTGCCAATTGCAGGTGAAGTGCGGATGCCTTCAGGCAAAACTGCTCGCCCACATATCACTGACAATAAGGATGGCACCATTACTATCAAGTACCAGCCCACAGAGAGAGGCCTTCATGAGATGGACATTAAATATGATGGAAACCACATTCCAGGTAAGTAACATTGAACTGTGTGGTGACCATCAAATATCTTTATACATGGGGACTGCAAAAAGTAATACATTTCTATGAATAACATTTGCAGGAAGTCCACTGCAGTTCTTTGTGGATGCAGTAAACAGTGGAGTGGTAACTGCTTTTGGCCCAGGGCTGAGTTATGGCATGGTCAACAAGCCGGCTACATTTACTGTGGTCACCAAAAATGCAGGAGAAGGTAATGATCACTTTCTCATCCTTTCATTATTTACAAGTGTTACTGACCCCAACTGTTCCATATTTGTATCTGTCTTAGGCGGCTTGTCTCTTGCTGTGGAGGGACCGTCCAAAGCAGAAATCACTTGTAAGGACAACAAAGATGGCACCTGCACAGTGTCTTACTTGCCCACTGCCCCTGGAGACTACAACGTCATCGTGAAGTTTGACAACAAGCACATTTCTGGCAGTCCCTTCACCGCCAAGATAACAGGTGAGAAATCATCTATTTAACATATAGATTGGTTCAAGCTGCCTTATCCGTGAATGTAAAATTATTTACAGTTGATATATACACTCAAATATTGCCTTTTTCTGTCAAGGGGATGACTCTATTACCAGGACGTCCCAGCTGAACGTGGGCACATCAGCAGATGTGTCGCTAAAGATCGCAGAGACTGATATTAGCTCTCTCACTGCAAGCATCCGGGCGCCATCAGGGAACGAGGAACCCTGTCTGCTCAAACGCCTGCCCAACAGACACCTGGGTAACAAATGTCACACACACATCCACTTTCAAAGTAGGACACAGATAACATGAACAATTCCTGTATGCATGAGTACAAAGGCTAAAAACTGAACAAACATCTTTAACAACAGTTAATGTTTGAATGACGTTTACTCTGCAAAAAGAGACGTTGAGACGTTTTCCCTACATTTTTCTTACATCTTTTTATTTTTTATTTAGTACTGTCATTGATTTCAGTCCTCTATTGCTTATGATGTTTCAGTGCTCCACTCTTTGTCTGTTTTACATGAAAATCCCAAAAAAGCACTGGTTCAGAAAAAACGCTTCACTTTTAAATGCTACTGGAGACATCTTGTGTAAACTCATGTAGCGATGTAAAGAACAAACTGATGAGAAAATGTTTGAATTTGAAATGTTTTCAAGATGCTTCTGATGTGTGTTCGTCTGATTTATTATAAAGGGACTTTTACAAATCTTATGCCTGACTTTCGGTTACAGGCATCTCATTCACCCCAAAGGAGGTTGGCGAGCACGAAGTGAGCGTGAGGAAGAGCGGCGTGCATGTGGCTAACAGCCCGTTCAAAATAATGGTCGGTCAGTCCGAGATCGGAGAGGCCAGCAGGGTCAAGGCGTTCGGGAAAGGACTGGTGGAGGCTCACACTTTTGAAATGGCAGAGTTCTTTGTGGATACAAGAAATGCAGGTACCATTTGCATGCAAATTATAGTAGTAGTACTAATACTTATATTTATTTTAAATGTATTTCATACTAACAAAAACAAGAAACGAGTCTTCCTTAGACAGAAAGCGAATGACCCTACTGAACAGTGGATTAGTTTGAATGATGTATTTGGACCTGAACGCTGTACAATAAGCATATGTTATTAAGCACATGTTAAAAGTTGTTGATTTGTTTTTTCTTCTTTAGGTTACGGGGGTCTTGCCTTATCGATTGAGGGTCCGAGCAAAGTGGACATCAACTGTGAGGATGTGGAAGACGGGACTTGCAAAGTCACTTACTGCCCAACCGAACCTGGGAACTACATCGTTAACATTAAATTTGCAGAGAAGCACATCCCAGGTTTGAAGTTATTTTTATGCAAATATTTTTTACGAATGCCCTTGTCGCTCGAATACCTGCATTTGATTTACTGTAATTGGTTTATTTGAATTTAGGCAGTCCATTCACAGTGAAGGTGACCGGCGAAGGCAGGATCAAAGAGAGCATTACGAGAAAAAGGCAGGCGTCCTCCCTAGCTTCTGTGGGAAGCACATGTGGGCTTAACCTCAAGATCCCAGGTGAAGTGAGAAGCCAAAACCCAATCATATAATTCAATAAAGTCATCCCACCTGGGCTCTATGAATTATGAATGACTCTCCTTTTGATTCGTAGGAAACTGGTTTCAGATGGTGTCCGCTCAGGAGAGACTTACAAGAACCTTCACACGAAGCAGCCATACGAGTTATACACGGACCGAGCGCACAGAAATCAGCAAGACCCGCGGGGGGGAGACCAAAAGAGAGGTCCGGGTGGAGGAGAGCACCCAGGTGGGGGGAGGAGGCAGCCCCTTCAGAGATGTCTTTGGAGACTTTCTGGGCAGAGACAGCCTCAGCAGCTTTGCAGGAATCACGGCAAGACCAGAGGGTAAGGTTTTTTTTACGTTAGACTTTTCCTGTGTAATTACTCAGGGATTGTTTCATTTAGTCAATTGTGTCCATAAAAAAGTAGATGGAACTTACATGGATTGCCTTTCAAGTGTCACAAGTCACATAAAATTTTAATGAGGCTATCTCTTCCAGCATTTTCCAACTTTAGTGCTATTAAGTGGTTTGAGGTCTTTTTTAAAACAAGGCGAACAGATAGATGCAATAAGTGAACAAAAGGGAATGTTTAGTACTGAATTTGAAATAAAATGTGTCTTGGGGATCATTTACCCCTAAACTGAAGATAATGGTCCTTTAGGCCTGTGTACACATTCTCCTAGCCATTTGAAGCTGGGGTACCTAACATTTTTGTTTTAGAAATAATAGATTGTCTTGGCCCCACCAGTCCTTTCTGTTTCACTTTTCTGTCTGAGATTGCTATTCTAAAGATGTGACTGAGGCCAAAAGTAAATACTTGTGAAAACTAGTGATAGAACCTGAGAGCCTGGAACTAGTTGGATTTCACGGTTTCTTTGTTGTGGTTTGAAAGTTAAGTGCCCGAGCTTTAACACCAGCTCACTGCACATCTCATTTTGCTCCTGCAGTGGAAAGCGGCTCACAGGCGATGACCGCGCAGGTCACCAGCCCCAGTGGCAAAACCGCAGATGCCGATATTGTGGACGGAGGGAGCAGCACTTACAGCGTTCGCTTCATTCCACAAGAAATGGGCCCCCACACCGTCAATGTCAAATACAGGGGCCAGCATGTTCCCGGGAGCCCCTTCCAGTTCACCGTGGGGCCGATGGGGGAGGGAGGGCCGCACAAGGTCAGAGCCGGAGGTCCTGGTCTGGAGAGAGGCGTTGCTGCAGCGCCATGTAAGTTTATGCCTCATCATTGAGTTTCTTAGTGGGTTTATGAGGCCATTGATGAATCGATTTGCTTTCTCTGCATCAGCTGAATTCAGTATTTGGACCAGAGAGGCTGGAGCTGGTGGACTGTCCATCGCTGTGGAGGGGCCGAGTAAAGCGGAAATCTCCTTTGAAGACAGAAAAGATGGTTCATGCGGCGTGTCTTACATAGTGAAGGAACCAGGTAATGGCAATTCAACAGAACCATTAGAGGTCTCTTATTATGAACAAAATTTAACTTTTATTGAATTAGGGGTTTGGATATTAGTGTTTGGTAGATTTTTCTGAACACAATTAGTATGTTTTAGTGTAACGTTATTGGTATACCTCCAATTAACATACTGCACTGCTGACTTTAAAGAAAAGTTGGGACAAATATCTGTCCTTTCACAAACTAGCAATACATCCATCCATCCATCCATTCATTTTCTTCCCCCAATTTCTGGGTCAGGGGGGGTGGCAGTTGGAGCTGCACCCAGTACACAGAGCACCAGCCCCTCACTGATCCTCCTGCAGGTGGTGAGTCCACAGGAGCCCTGATCTTTCATCGGGGGCTTCAGGCAAAGTGGGGTTAAGTGTCTTGTCAAAGGACACAATGACAGTAGTCATCAGTGGGAGTCATGAAGTAGGTCTTGTGGTTTGCTCGAACCCACAACCTTCAGGCTCAAAGGCCAATGCGCTACCAACTGAGCTACTGTCGCCACCTAGTAATACAAGTGTTTTCTATTGTAGATACGTTTACAATGCAAGCAAACCAGATCAAAACTCTATGGCACAATACATATATATATATTTTCTTTTGCTCAGGTGACTATGAGGTGTCAATCAAGTTCAACAACGAACACATCCCTGACAGTCCCTTCATTGTGCCCATTGCTACTCTGTCTGACGAGGCCCGCAGGATAACTGTCACCAGCCTTCAGGTAAAAAAGACAATTCACAAGAAAAGATGATTAAAAAAAATTGGTCATGGTGGATATGAAGAAGGAATTTTTAATCTGAAAGCTCTTTGCCCTTGACATTTGATGGAACGGCATATTAGAACTTCATCCAATCGCTGTAAATCTGAGATTGCTGGCTCGCGACAAAGGCCTGGATTAAGTGTCCCTTGCTAATATGGGCTAACAGAAGCTGTGCTCGTGTGTGTGGGCACACTGTGTGATAGTGGAAAAAAACAGCATTGAGCCAGGAGATAAGCAGAAAAGTGTTTTCAATAGTTTATCCCTGAAAAGCTCCTGAAAATCGCACCCAGCACATCGAACTGTATGGCCTTTTCACTTTTGTTTTATTTGTCCCATTACAACGGCCAGCTTTGTGTTTTTGGAGTAATCTGAACTGCCACTTCACAGTGTTTCTATCGCTCTACATAGCAGGTGCAGTGCGATACCAGGCCAGTGTGGAAAATGTCACGATGCCTTTTATATGGCTCACAGCGACTAAAACACTAAATGCCTCGCTGTGAACTTTAGCTTTTTCAGCCTCTCACACCTAAATGCACCTTCTATTCTTGCTCTGGCACGAGGATGAGTCAGTGTCCCTCCACCGTGTTATTACTGCTCTGCTAACACATGACATTAAAGAAATACTTGGAATGTTATGGCCAATACTAAAATGTATAAATTGTATGTGTAATTTTTTTTCCAGCAAATAATAATAATAATAATGATAATGCATCACTATTTTACCTTTGTTTGATATTTTAAAATATTTCCCCTAATTCTTGTTTTTTTGTGAGAGACAAGTTCTCTATGAATGTGATTAAACAATTAAAGAGCAGATGAAACATGCCCATTATAGTTTTATTATTGCCTACATTTAAATTTTGGTATTGTCAAGTATGTCGAGCCCCCCCTACTCTCTCAAAACTATTTTATTCTTTAGTTTTCAAATGAAAGTATTTTTTGCCTCGATCAAATGAAGGAGAGAGAACGACCTTCACTCAGTTCTCAATACGTACAAGGGAAAAGATATGTTGAACACAAAATGTTACTTACTAACCCTTATATTGGGACAAAAAGATAAGTTGGATTCTGCAGTTTTGACATGAATTAACATTTATGGACAGTGGTCATCCTGCTCCCTTTTTGCCGATGGCTCTTATGTGTTTGTTATTATTGCGTTTACTGTGTTCGACCTCTTTGATTCTCTGATCTGTTTTTAGTGACTCTTTGCAAAGTCCTCTGAGCGACTGCTGTTGTGATTTAGGCCGTTATACACGAATACGTTGAGCTGAATGTTAAGGTTAAAGTAAGATTCGGTGCTCTTTATTGTCCCTGCAGGGATACAGTACGTCCTCTGCATATGCCCCATCCGTCAGTGCCACTACGGCAACGTTACAATTATAATTCTGACTAATCATTTCCAAAGGTGACACGGTTATTGCAGTATCCTGTCAAATCATTGCACATCTCAATTCCAGGAGAAAGACTTGAAGGTGAACCAGGAGGCTACTTTTATCGTGCAGAGGAACGGGGCGAGGGGTGTGGTCGATGGCAAAGTGCACACCCCCTCTGGATCGTCTGAGGAGTGCTACGTGTCTGACCTTGACAGCGGTATGCCCCCTTTTGATCATAAAAGCAGCTGTAATTATTCTTATGATGTAATACGAGGCCGCTACGATTTCGGCTAAGCACCTATTATTCATTTGTGTCTGCAGACAAAAGCGCCATTCGATTTATACCTCGGGAAAATGGCGTCCACGCGATTGATGTCAAGTTCAACGGATGTCACATTCCCGGAAGCCCGTTCAACGTGAGGGTGGGAGATTTGGGTCTGATCGGGGACCCGGGCAAGGTGACGGCACATGGGCCCGGACTGCAGGGGGGGACCACAGGTAACTGGACCCGACACCTGATGGATTTCATGTTTACCTATAAACTTTATTGATCTCACACAGGAGAAATTTACACCACACAGGAGACATTTATTTATTTTTAACAACCTTTTATTCATTACACACACACACATTCACAATCACACACAAAAGGTATTGGATTTCTTTCTGTAGACCAGCTTTTTTAAATGTGCTGCTATATAAATTACTTACTTACTTTCTGTTGATTTTGTTAGTCAAACTTTTCAGTCATAATCCGGTGTTTTGAAACCCACATTCTAGGTTTGATTTTAAAAATTTATATTTAGTGACCTGCAGTAGGAGAGAAAAGCTCACACTGCTATTGTCACTTTTAATGTTACTGCACATAATCTTGCACAAAAGAGACTACATTTTAACCTCTTAACATGTTGCATGCTTCCTGCCTTTTTGCTATGCCCAATGTGACATGTACATTTCTCCATTGTGAGATCAATCAAGTTTATCTTATTTTATCTTATCCATATTGGACTTTTTCCAATTCTTAGTCTTTGTTCTACATACTCCCAAAATGCGTAATAGTTGCGTTCACTTTCTCCAGGGCTTCCCGTAGAGTTTGTGGTGAACACTTGTAACGCCGGCTCGGGCACGCTCTCTGTCAACATTGACGGTCCCTCAAAGGTCAAAATGGACTGTCGTGAGTGTCCTGAAGGCTACAAGATCACATACACCCCCATGGCCCCAGGAAACTACCTCATCACCATTAAATATGGCGGACCGCAGCACATTGTCGGCAGCCCGTTCAAGGCTAAAATAACAGGTTTGTCTCACAGTCATTCTCTCATCTGAGCCTTGGATTGGGATGACAAGTCTCCATTATGAAACAAATGGTTCTGTGGAGGAATACAGATGTCAGATAAATGTTGTGTCATCTCGTGCCAAATTGCTCGTCGTAGGTATCATATAAAAGCTGAGAGGAGTGAGATATTCTTGTCACTACTTGGCACTTACTATCACCAAAGCAGTCAAATCCAGCAATAGCTCTTGTCTATTCCACTTAGAAAAGCACTTTTGCTCCTTTTATGGTTTTGTCAATTCTCTTATGTAACGTCTGGGGAAAGGCAATAACAATATGACTTTTGTTGTAGGTGTCAGATTGTCCGGGGGTCACAGCCTCCATGAAACCTCCTCCGTTCTAGTGGAAACTGTCACCAAATCGTCAAAAGTGGGCGGGACCTTCAGCTCCTCTTCTTCCTCCACCACATCGGCCAAATTGGCGTCCGATGCCAGCAAGGTGCTGTGCCGTGGCGCCGGCCTGTCCAAGGCTGTTGTGGGACAGAAAAACAATTTTACAGTTGACTGCAGCAAAGCCGGTGAGATGACAACCTGTTCCCCTGTTAATGTGATTTTTTTCAAATAACGCTACTATTTTACTCTTGTACTGGTTTATGTATCACTATGTTAGGAAGGATAAGTGAGGGCGAACATTTGAAAAGACTGACATTTCCCCTATTTGGGTCATGCACTGATCTTTTGCATCATTTTTGGCTTTACTGTCCTGCTGTGTATAGGGCTTCATCATCACTTTTACGGTTCCAAATATTCACTTTTTGGGAGCGACAACCGGCCGCTAAAAGTAAAATTCATTACTGCGGTAAACGTAAAAAGTTAGTGTCTGTAAATTACAACCATCTGAAGGACTTTAAAACGCTCTTGAACTAAATGATAGAATTAACTGAGGATTCTCCGAAGCTTTGTCATTACCTGCAGTAATTGAATCCATTATTAACATAGAAGTATCGATCAGCACAGCTTTAAACCCCGCTCGGTAAAGACCTCTTGTGAACCTCATTGATCTGATTTCCCCTATCTCTCTCCCAGGCACCAACATGCTGATGGTGGGGGTGCACGGGCCCCTTGCCCCCTGTGAGGAGGTGTATGTAAAGCACATGGGCAACAAGCTCTACAACGTCACATACGCTGTCAAGGACAAGGGCAGCTACACGGTTATTGTCAAGTGGGGCGACGATAACGCCCCCGGGAGCCCTTTCAAAGTGGCCGTACCTTAAAAACAAACTGCTCCAATTAGACGCCAATGACAACAGCACTTGTGTCCTTTTCCACGCTTCAACGAAAACAAACCCAGTCGTCTGTCACTGTCACTCCAACTCATAAATGCACTACGGACAATTGTGTCTCCTTATCAAATCGCTGGTGCCAAAGTTTTGTATTCTCTTCTGATGTGCACCCGAAAACTACGTGTGTGTTTTGTGATCTTTTTGCTCTCTTCATGATAATTCCTCTCATTTTGTTCATGGCTGATTTCTGTGACAATGTGTGAGTAATTTGGTGTATTGATTTTGTATGATTTTAAGAATGAGAAAGTGATTTTTATTATATTAACCTATTTTTGCAGACTTAATAAAGATGTATTGCTACCAAATGCACCCAAAGCGTCTTTCTTAATAAACAGGGCATACCTCAGACTTCAGAGTTTACCCTCAGGAGAAATTTTTCTTCACATACTGTTCACAGAAGCCCTTTGACATTTAAAAATATAAAGACACAAAAATACAGCTGTACATTAATGTGAAGCTCAGTTACTTTTGAGATTGCGAATGCCTGAGTAAGACACGTCCCCATAGCTTCGGGTGCAATGAATTCAAATCCTAGAAAGACAGCTGAGGCCAGGGGCTGTTCTGAACATATTTATTATGAAGTATCTGATGGGACTAGGCCTCCTGACTCCTGTCCCTTCAGATTGTTCTTTAGAAAGATCAAAGCTTTTCGGTTCCCGTCCACCTGAGCTACGGTGTGGGTAGCCCTATATGATTGAAGTTGCAGTGTTGGTTCCTTTGGGAGCTGTGTACAGTATGAACATAATGAAAAAGCAGGTGGAACAGAACAGGATGAGGAGTTGAATGATTTATTTGTATAGCAGAGACAACAGATGCAGTGATACATATAGTCCTATAGAATTATTCGTGCATGGCCTCTTCAGTAAATGTCTATGGTTGGCTGGTCGAATTAGGGGAGGGGATCTAAATTTGAAACTGACTCTTGGGTTCAGAAGAAGCCTTATCCCATCAGCCATCGTCTTTTGAAGAAGAAGATAATCCTTTATTTGTCCCTCTGTGGGGAAATTTCAGTTTTGATGAAAACACATATACAGTACGGTATGCAGTGTACAATTACTTGTGGGGTTAAGTGTCTTGCCAAAGGACACAACAATTATTGACATCAGAGGGAGTTGGTCCTTTGTAACACTAGAACTCCCCAAACAGTCAATTTGACGGCGTTTAGTTTTGGAAGTGGAATTACTCAGCGTATATGTTTGGTCTTCATAACTTTGTGACTTTTCTGATAAGATTATCTTTCATTTTTGAAATGTGAGCAGATACCATAGCAACACACGGTTTACTTACCACATATAAGTGAGTTAAGGTTAAAAAAAAATAATAATAAATAAAATCCATTTCTGGGTAGCTGCACCTGGTTCACAGAGTACCACCCATTGAACTTTTTTGGGTGGAATTTCTTGGAATTCCATTGGTTCTAGCAGTTTCATAATTCTGGGAGTCCCAGTGGGAATAAAGAACAGGTCCCGTTAAAGGTGACGTTCCCAACATCAATTGTATTTCCTGTCGAAAATAACCCAGATCGTGAGCTGTTTCCACTGATTGTTTGTTGATGATGAGGCTGAGGTGATGAAGAGGGAGATGAGATAAGAATACATCAAGCTTATCAGTAAACTCACCACCTCAACATGCACATCCACCCAAACAACACACTTTGGGGAGGAGTCCATGCCCTGTCATTCTTTCTGCTGAGATGCACTCACAAGATGGCAGCAGACTCAAGCTCTCATCTACATCTACATCACACAAACAAACGATGAAAACCCTCTGCAGATTAATGGAGGGCCCCGCGAAGCCTGAACCGGAGGCGCAGGGTTTCCCCACTGTGTGCGTAATTAATCGTGTTGGATCAGAGAGACGCGGCGCATGTGGTTGATGTTTTAGCCGAAGCGAAGGCAGGGCGCGCAGAGGTGGGTGCGTGGTTGTCTCCCAAGGGTGCTCCTCCTGCTGCTGCTGATGCGTCTGTGGGGGCCTCCGCTGGCTCTGACTCACCCCCACCTCCGCCGACTCTCTGCAGCGTCACAAGTACAGAGGAGAGAGAGGGGACTATAATTAGCAGATCATTTTCCTTCTCTGTGTCATGGTGCTGGAAGGGACACAGTAAAAATGCAGGATCTGCGCAATAAAAGAGAGTAGTTTTGTTGTATTTGTATTATAAAGTCCGGGGTATCGCCTATAACTTTCAAATTTGCTAAATCAACATAATTTAAGCAAGTCCATTCAACACATAAGCCTTTGTTGGTTTCTTCAACCATTTGAAAGAGTTAAAATATCTGAAATCTACCTCTTTGGGGCATTTCAAAGGTTTTAGGCACTTTTACCATCAAACTGAATCTCAACAATTTTGTAAAAGCCTATTAGTTAAAAAAAAAAGCATGCAAAACTATTTATGTTGTTTGTGCACATACTGTAAAAAAAAAAAATACATTTCTTTCTTCATGGAGTGAATATTTAATGGTTATTTTCATCGCAACTCACTCACCTTTCACATCACCCAAAAGCAACACACTCAGAAATCTAGGGGTAATACTGGACTCAGACTTAAATTTTAATAGCCACATCAAATCAGTAACATCAGCAGCTTTTTACCATCTAAAAAACATTGCCAGGATCAAAATCATAGTGTCTAAAGCAGACTTGGAGATTCTTATCCATGCATTTGTCTCCAGTAGGTTAGACTACTGCAATGGCCTGCTCACAGGTCTGTCCAAACAGGCTGTAAAACAGCTGCAGTACATTCAAAATGCAGCAGCTCGAGTCCTGACTAGAACCAGGAAGTACGACCACATTAGTCCAGTCCTCAGGTCTCTGCACTGGCTTCCTGTGGCTCAGAGAATAGACTTTAAAACAGCTCTGCTTGTGTACAAATCTCTCCATGGCCTCGCACCAAAATATATTAGTGACATGTTAGTCCCATATGAACCAGCCCGGACTCTGAGGAGCACAGGGACTGGACTCCTGTTAGTGCCCAGAGTCAGAACTAAACATGGGGAGGCAGCTTTTCAGATTCATGCTGCTAAAATCTGGAACAGTCTTCCTGAAGATGTGAGACAGGCCTCCTCTCTGACAATGTTTAAAACCAGGTTAAAGACAGTTCTGTTTAGCTGTGCATACAACTGAGGGATTTTATATTTTTAGCTTTATTTTTAATGTTCTGTGATTATTTATGTATTTAATGCTTGCTTGTTTTGTTCAGCACTTTGAATTGCCTTGTGTATGAATTGTGCTATATAAATAAACTTGCCTTGCCTACTATTTAAACGATTTTCCGTTCCAATCCATCCTGTTTCGTGTCCTTTCTTTTTTCATTTTTTTATATTCTCCAGTAACAACCCTGCCCCCAATTATTCAACAAGTATTTCTATCAATTGTTGAGGGGTTTTATGGCGGCTAACAGGCTAACTGTTGACTAGCAGTATTGGGAATTTCAATACTCCCTAATTTACAAACTACAATATATTAGATAAACACAACAACGCCACTGTACAGAGAACAAGAGGATCCAGATGGATTTCATAAAAAAGCCCGGGGACCTAACCTTTTGATTTATTGAATTATACATGGTGTTTGTCCCGAAAGAACGAGTTTCATATAAGTACAATCTTGTGAACAAATCAGACCACAACAGCTGTCTGCATCTTTAACAGACTACTGTACATGCAAAAGAGCTGCGGGAGTCACTACTGCTTTGGGCTGAGAGCTGTTAAACCTCCGTTGGATGTACGTGGAGGTAATTCACTAGTTTATTACATCATAAAACTGATAAATGTGATGTGAAAAAAGTGTATTCCTTTGTTCTTTTAGTAGATTTCACCTTCTACTTGGATGTTCCCGTCTCCTGCACCACCATCAAAGGGTTCAGAACTGCAAGTGAAGCTCCCGTAATTCATTGTTAAGTTTTAAATCTCTAAAACATGTTCATTATTACATTTAACCAATAAACATTCACAGAAACGTTCCGTCAGAAGCAGGATTTATCTTCCCCAGTGCTGATCTGGTATTGTTGCCGTGGGAGACTTCTCATGAGTCACCATTCTGGACTTATGGGGTTTATTTCACCATTTTAAAGTAGCAGCATTGATGTAAACATTGACATTGTTTTTTTTAAATAACATTTTGTAATACTACATATCTATTGTGTTGTTTTATTATCTACTGTTCTGTCTGTGAGAGAAGTTGAAGTAAAAAAGTACATTAAAAAACATAAACAAAACACACACACGTCTTTTTAATAACCCAAATGTATTACCTATATACCTGTATCACCATATGTTTGGTGGTATGTAAACCAGTACCTACATACACTTCCAAAGTAATTATATCTAAAAAACTGCAGCCAGCTTGTTACAGTTATTATACACAGTTACATTATTTACAGTATAATGATAATAAAGAAAGAAATATGCTGTTCACTGTTCTTCTGCGGTGAAATAATTTACAGTGTACCACATCTGCAACCAGAAAGTACAGCTATTCACGTCACAAAGTCAGTCAGATTAGGGTAATGTTGGCTAAACATAATTTGAGGCTATATGTAAATCATCGCTGGTATGCCAAGGACCTTGTGTTTGGGGCCAGGGCAGGACCCACCCACCCAAGTCAGCCCCCCCGTCCTGATGCTCCCGTGGGCTAGAACCGGGCGTCTGTCCACCACAACATGTTTATCTCCAACGGCTGCCAAGAATCGACACACACAAAAACGTGAAGGAGATCCGCAGTTTCAGCACCACAGACAGCGGCAGCATTATTAGGGGAGAGAGCGAGCGACGGGAGAGGGCATAGAGAGTGTGGGAGTAAAGAGGGAGAAAGATTAGAGAAAGAGAATGGATTTAAAATAATCCAGATGGAAGAATGGGAGACGGGCTCAGCGCACAGAAACACACTGAAACAAAAATAGACAAGGGAACAGTTTATACCAAGAGTGTCAAACC